GGACAAGATTGAAGAACCCCAGTGGTTCTCAGTGATGCACTGGCTTTCTTGGGTTATCCTGGGTGGCTAACCCTCCAGACTAAAAATCTGAACAAAAACTTATCTTACATAAGGGTGTCTTTATTCCATTCTGCCTGGGTTTACGTGGACTGATCCACCTGCTGGAAAATCCTAGAGAGACTTGTACTGAACTTGCACACGAAAATCACTCCCTACGAAAGCAAAAGACTTGACAGACGGTGCAACATCCCCCCAATGAAAAGCAGGGGTGCCACTAGTATGATAAAAGACAACACAATAAGTGTCAGGGGCCCAAAACTGTTCGACTGCCTCCCAGCATTCATCAGGGGGATTGCCAATAGGCCCCTGGCTGTCTTCAAGCAAGCACTGGACAGGCACCTAGAGTTGGTACCTGACCACCTGGGTTGTGGCTCATACGTTGGATTACGTGCAGCCAACAGTAACAGCCTGGTTGATCAGGCCCTGATCCACCATGAGGCCTGGTCACGGACTGGGCCGTGGGGGCATTGACCCCCGGAACACTCTCCAGGTATACCTGAGCATACTTATTTCCTTTCTTATTGCTGTCCTCATTTTGGCAAGCTTTCCTCCCCAGACACTGGGAGGTAGGGCCTATTACAGCATAAATTGTGGTAGGCCATAAAACTCCAATACCAACAATGCCATTAAAAAAAGATAGCTCATGCTCATGTCATAGTCCATTAGTGAGTTGTTGCTTAAGTCCTAGGTTTGGATGCCAGGTGAGTCATGATGTATGGGCAAGTCCCCTTGCATTTGCTGCTCCTGTTCACCTAGAAGTAAATATATACTTTCCAAGTGTTAGTTGACTTGTGGCATGCTTCCTAGGGTAGAATATGCAGCAATATTCCAGGCTTCAATAGAAATAAGTAATAATTCGTGGCCAATTTTCAGCTGACTTGGGTTAACAGCCTGATAAAATCTTTTATATCTTTCTTTGCCAACCAGATTTAATTACATCTGCTGTGGTGGAATATAACTGGGAAATGGCTGTTTTTCCTCACCATGTAGAATAAGGTAGCCCTGGATAGGTTGCCAAAATTTGTCAAATAAAAAGAAAAAGTGCAGGAAAAGTTGGTAGATGGATCTGTAATTTCCTAACAAATAGAACAAACAGAATAAAATCTGAGGCGGCAACTGTGAAACTCTCTTCCACAAGGCACAGTGCTCGTTCCCATCCTATTCCTTGTCCTCATATCTGACATAGACAGGGATGTAAGCCACAGCACCGTGTATTCCTTTGCAGATGACACCCAAATTTGCATGACAGTGTCCTCCATTGAAGACACTGCAAGACTCCAGGCAGACATCAACCAAATTTTTAAATGGGCCTCAGAAAACAATATGAAGTTCAATGATGAGAAATTTCAACTATATGTACTCTGATATGGAAAATGTGAGGAAATTAAAACTATATCGGAGTATAAAATAAATTCCAAGTACAAAATAGAGTGAAAAACTAATGTAAAAGACCTGGGAGTGATAATGTCAGAGGATCTCACTTTCAAAGACCACAACATTGTATCAATTGCATCTGCTAGAAAAATGACAGGATGGATAATGAGAACCTTCAAAACTAGGGATGCCAGGCCCATGATGACGCTCTTCAAGCTGCTTGTTCTATCTAAGCTGGAATATTGCTGCACACTAACACCACCTATCAAGACAGGTGAAATTGCTGACCTAGAAAATGTACAGAGAACCTTCACGGCACACATAACTGTGATAAAACACCTCAGTTACTGAGAATGCTTGAAGTTCCTCAACCTGTACTCCCTAGAGTGCAGGCAGGAAAGACATGATTATTTACACTTGGAAAATCCTAGAGAGATTAGTACCAAATTTGCAGATGAAAATCACTCCCTATGAAAGCAAAAGACTCGGCAGACAATGCAACATCCCCCAATGAAAAGCAGGGGCGCCACTGGCATGATAAGAGACAACATAATAAATGTCAGGGGCCCAAGACTGTTGAACTGCCTCCCAGCATATATCAGGGGGATTACCAATAAACCCCTGGCTGTCTTCAAGTAGGCGCTGGACAGGCACCTAAAGTCGAGTTGGGTTGCGTGCGGCCAACAGTAATAGCCTGGTTGATCAGGCCCTGATCCACCATGAGGCCTGGTCACAGACCGGGCTGCAGGGGCGTTGACCCCTGAAATTCTCTCTAGGTATACTCCAGGTATTAGATGATTGAAGAGGACAATTACCTATTCACAGTAACTAAAGGGCTAGGTTAGAACTTTAGATATAAAATTGTCATATAAATATGATTGTGATACATGTGTTATATTGATCTGCAGGAAGTTTTAGTGGTGGTCTGTGTCCTGGTGGCAAAAGCTCTCGCTTCACATAGTGAGGGGTCTGGGTTCGATTCCTGGTGAGGGTTAAAACATTGGGCGTGTTTCCTTACACCGGTTGTCTATGTTCACCCATCAGTATAAAATGGGTACCAGGGTGTTAGTCGACTGGTGTGGGTCACATCCTGGATTGACCTAATTTGCCTGAAATGCTCTGCATAACAAGCAGCTTTCTATATAGTAGTAGAGTATGTCATTGATGTCAGCTAGGCTTGTATACCTTGTACAGGTACTTGTAGAAATAAAATTATTATTATTATTACATTTATGTGCACTTTTTTAATGCCTTTTTTGTGCAGTAGTACATTGTCTTGTCAAAATATAATTTTTTGGTACTCACATTTTTATGCTAAATAATAAAATTAAATATTTACAAAACAGCAATCAATCATTATGTTCTTATCAGTAGATTTGATGCCTTATTCATTGGAGGAGGCTTAGGGTATACAGTATTCATTTGGGCATTAATTTCTCTGGATATACCATCTCAGAGATCCAGAGGTTTTACCATAGCTGACATGCAGTATACACCTTTTTCAAGTAATGTGTACAATACCATAGAATTTTTGAAACACTCCATAAACAATTTCTCATTCATCCATGCTGTTTTGTTTTACCACCAAATAACAGACGAAGTGGTTTTATCCTTACCTTTTAAAGCACAGGGATTCTGAGTGTGATAAATAAGCATAGCCATGCATTTGAAATCACCTGGTGCATTAAGGTGATGAAAACATTAAAATTGATTGCTAAACAAGAGACAATGTCTTACGGGGCACATTCAGAGGGCAACTGAGTGTTGATGGGTGTTTACATTATGGAGTAAAGGTAGGCTTCCCCCTAAAACAATGGCCTCATTCTGGGCATGATAGGAAACTAGCCCACTGCATGATAAAGTATTATTTTGTGCATGACTCTTGGTCTTGGCAACAAAATTTAAATCTCAAATTGTCAATAATATGAATTGTAGTTGCATGAATTATGAGAGTACTGTATATCAAGTACAGCACTGAAATATTACTTTAATTGTCTTGTATACTAGTAAGATGAATATTGTATTAGGACATTTATTGAGGAGACTTTGTCTACCAGAGGCTTTATCAGTCGAATACAGAGAACCAAAGTTTGCATGCTACTGTATATATATAGTGGGTTGTAGGTCAGGTACTTCATGTTGAGGTGGGGTTAAGTGATAGCTGTGTCCAGTTAGGGTATGAGTCTGGTAAGAACAGTTGAAATCATAAAACTGCAGGAATTCTGTGTGATGATATACTATATTGATACTGTAGTTGCAATAAGAGCAGAATTTAAATAGCACCTGCTGTGCTGATCAGTTTCTCTGATGACTAATTTGGTATGTTCACGTTAAATGAAATGCTTATGGCAGTTTCTGTGTATAGTGCAGGCATTGTTTAAATCATCCCTTTTGCATGTGTATATCCATTCCCTGATGAATTGTTGCAGACTTTTAGAAGTCTGTCCCATACAGTTTGTTATACCATTCCCACATGAGATAGTGTCTTTATTTTTTCATTGTTACACAGAAAAACTATAGACTATGTACCATCACACGTGGTGAAAGATGGGGGAAGGGATGTTGCAATGAACTATATGTATTTCTTTCTTTCTTTCAACACACCGGCCGTATCCCACCAAGGTGGGGTGGCCCAAAAGGAAAAACAAAAGTTTCAACTTTTACATTTAGTAATATATACAGGAGAAGAGGTTACTAGCCCCTTGCTCCCGGCATTTTAGTTGCCTCCTACAACACGCATGGCTTACGGAGGAAGAATTCTGTTCCACTTCCCCATGGAGATAAGAGGAAATAAACAACAAGAACAAGAACTAGTAAGAAAATATTAGAAAACCCAGAGGGGTGTGTGTATATATATACTTGTACATGTATGTGTAGTGTGACCTAAGTGTAAGTAGAAGTAGCAAGACATACCTGAAATCTTGCATGTTTATGAGACAGAAAAATGGACACCAGCAATCCTACCATCATGTAAAACAATTACAGGCATCCGTTTTACACTCACTTGGCAGGACGGTAGTACCTCCATGGGCGGTTGCTGTCTACAAACCTACTACCTAGAATGAACTATATGTGTGGGAGACTAATATCAGCTTGAGACAATGCATTAGGAACACAAGTACAAGTGTCAATGGGATGATTTAAACAACTGCACTATACATGTACACCTATCTCACAACCATATCATGAGCTTCGAAGGTGCCAAATTAGTCATCAGAGAAACTGACCAGCGCAACAAACACTGTTTAGAATCTGCTCTTATTGCAACTACCAATACTTTCATGCAGAATTTGGGCAGTTTTATTATTTCAGATGTTCTCACCAGACTTATCCTGCCTAAATCAGAAACAGCCATCATTTAGACCCATTCCCACATGTAATACCTGATCTGTGTCCCACTATTCATACTATTCCCTGTAAACTTTAGTCCTCTTTGTTGGATTGATGAAGCTCCAGCACATGAAACATCTTAATAAATATCCTAATACAGCATTTGTGTTATAATCACATACAGGTTGGCACTGATCACCATTTACACTTATAATTGTGTTGTTAAACATTTTCAGGGAAAAGTGTATATCATTGGTCCAGCAAGAATGAATTGTGATGACTCGTCAAGTTTCTGCTCTCTGGTGATGAATATAACATCAGCCACAAGCACATTTATTGGTCAGTTGGACTTGTACATGGTTATACGCAACCTTGATGTCCATAAGTTTTTCTGTAATATTTACATCTGTATATGTTTAGTATTCTATTTATTTGCTACATTTGGGAAGAATGGATCATACTTTGTAATTCATGCAGTCTAATAATCTTACCAGCATCTCTATCTCATTCTTGGACACCCGGGTTCTCTATCTACATGTTACCCATCTACAGTACCTGTACTGCATATATATGTACTTGTTTATACTCGTGGAGTTCTGCTTTCTATATTTATTCTCTCGGTATGTTTATATTTCCTGAAAACTGTTGAACTTACTTTTCTTTGGAGAAATGCTCTTGGCATTTTCACCAGTGTATTTGCTATCACTTAGTGACCTTTTGGAACTTGTTTTGGATGGGGTGGAACATAAAGTAATATTATATTTGAGTAAAGTAAGCATCAGTGCACTTGTAACCATTCATATTGGCTGCCATATGCTTCAGAATAAAAGTTAGGAAGCTTGATTACAGTCTACTGATAAAACTAGTGAGAGCTGAGCAGGGAATCACATCCTCCTCTCTGCTCAGTGAGCAACATGTCGATAATGCTCGCTAAACCATGCCATACAGTGGACCCCCGCATAACGATGGCATCACATAGCGATTTTTCCGCATAACGATTACTTTTATCGCAAAATTTTTGCCGCGCATACCGATTAAAAACCCGCTTACCGATTTTCGTCCGAGACGCGTCCAATGTGCCCTCAGCCAGCCTCACATGTGCCGCCCCGTCCCATTGTTTACCAGCCAGCCTCCGCGGTAACATCCAAGCATACACTCGGAATATTTCGTATTATTACAGTATTTTCGGTGCTGTTTCTGGAAAATAAGTGACCATGGGCCCCAAGAAAGCTTCTAGTGCCAACCCTGTGGTAAAAAGGGTGAGAATTAGTATGGAAATTAAGAAAGATTTTGAAGGGTTTGGGGCTAACCCTGAGAAGCCTATGCCAGTTGTGGAATCCATTGTGCCTACTTCAAAGATTAAGGAAATGTGTGCACAGTGGGTTGAACTGCAAACCTTTATAGATGAAAATCACCCTGACACAGCTGTTGCAAGCCATGCTGGTGACTATTTCAATGACAATGTTGTGGCCCATTTTAGACAAATCGTAAAGGAACGGGAGGTACAGAGCTCTATGGACAGATTTGTTGTGCGACAGAGGTCCAGTGACTCTCAAGCTGGCCCTAGTGGCATTAAAAGAAGAAGGGAAGTAACCCCGGAAAAGGACTTGCTACCTCAAGTCGTAATGGAAGGGGATTCCCCTTCTAAACAGTAAGAAGATAATGCTCTCCCCTCCCATCAATCATCACCAGATCTTCAATAAAAGTAAGTGTCATTTAATTGTGCATGCCTTTTTCAGTTTGTGTGTATTAAAATTAACATTTCATGTGGTAAAAAAATTTTTTTTTCATACTTTTGGGCGTCTTGCACGGATTAATTTGATTTCCATTATTTCTTATGGGGAAAATTCATTCGCATAACGATTATTTCGCATAACGATGAGCCCTCTTGCACGGATTAAAATCGTTAACCGGGGGTCCACTGTATATTCCTTATTCAAATTTGCTTTTTTGATCTTATTTAAACAAATTCACATAAATTCAATGCTTTTATGATAAAACAGAGACTATATTTAAATTTGTTTTTCTTACACAGACACTACAGTAGTCTATAACTAATGAGCATATACTATACCAGTAAATATGCATTAGCAGTTTTGAACTGTAGTATCAGAGGTGCCTCTGGCAAGACAGTGATGGAGTGATTGATAATGAAAGTGTTTCATCTTTTTTGGGTCACCCTACTCTGGTGGGAGATACCTGGTGTGTTAAAAAAAAGTCTTTTAATAGGTAAGCTGGTTCATTCTTCCCTTTGAAATTAGTTATCCATCCCTTAGAGCAGGTACATATTTAGTAAAAACTAGTAGCTATTTATTATAAAAAGTTGAATTACTGTATCTCTGTTTCCTATTGAGGATGATATACATTTCTTTTTTGTGTATAATGATAATGTAAGAAACTAGCATGATAATCTTAAGCAATATTAATTGAATGAGATACAAAATGTGATATACAAGAAATTTTCTGCATGCATAAATAAATTTCTTATACGTATTAAACTTGACTTTATGCACTGTTTTTGAAGAAGCTTTCCTTAGTGTGGGTTTTTAAGTGTATCTATGATTGAGAATAACAGGTTTAGAATGATTGGAAATTTTGCAATACAGTTGTCTGCATTAGAACTTTTAGGGAGTTATATAAGCTTATAGTTGAAAATTATTCAGTGGTGTAATTTTTCTTTAGGCTGAACTTTATACTTTGCATTTTCACTTAAATGAACTGGGCATCTCTCAGCTTTATGTACCCTATTAGTTATATTATTGTGCAGTAATACAGTAGTCAAAGTTTACAGTGTCTTGTCATGTATATATGTTTCCAGGAAACCAACTGGACCTGTTGTACCTAAGATGGGTGTGGTCGCTTGTTTACCCAGCTATCCTAACAGTGTTTATCCTGCCATCCATGATATTAATTTTGCTTTACTTCTCTGCATTTCTGCTCTACATTTATCAGAGGAGGTAAGGATTAGTTTGCTGAATAATTCATATGCATTTTTTTTATTTCTTAGACTTAATTTGTAACTAGTTGGTCTTAGGTACTGCTGTAAGTAGACCCTTGTATGTACAGTTCAACTTGTATATTCTAGTGAAAGGTTGTTAATTCTTTGATGCCCTAATACCTATACTACAACACCCTTTTACAATGCTGGTGAGACATTTGGGAAATGGGGAAAATACTGTGCCCCCTCAGCATCTATGAGGGATGGTCTTCAGGAGAAACTCAAAGATGGCAGTTTCAAGGATGCTGAACTTAAATTTCAGTGAGAAATGGAGGTTATTTTTCTCATTTTCTTGTGTTAATTGTTTCATTTACATTACTGTACTATAATTCTGTAGCATATATATTACTGTATGATGTATGGGTTTAGAATTAGTCTGCCTGAAATGCCTTGCATAATACGCTTTCATTAGAATGTATAATAGTGTTTTTCTAAAACTGTAGCCAACCTGTAATCGTACATATTGTAAAATCATCCAATGTAATGTCAGTGCATTCTAATGAATGCACTGACATTACATTTAATACTGTACAGTATAAATAGTCTCATAAACATGCAAGATTTCAGGTACAGTGGAACCTCAAAAATCGAACTTAATCCGTTCCAGGAGCTAGTTCTAAATTCGAAAAGTCTGAAATTCGAAGCAATATTTCCCATAAGAAAGAATGGAAATACAATTAATCCATTCCAGAAACCCAAAAATATTCACACAAAAAATATATTTTATAGAGATTAATTACAGTTTTACATACAACAAATACTATAGTTTTTAATTATGTATAGCAATACATATAAAATAACATTTTTACTTACCTTTATTGAAGATTGGTGATGGTATCTGGAAGATAGGGAGGAGGAGAGAGGGAGTTGGGGTTAGTGTTTGGAAGGAGAATCCCCCTCCATGAGGACTTCAGGTAAAGCCCTCTCTGGGGTTACTTCCCTTCTCTGTCTTTTAATGCCACTATTACCAGCTTGAGAGTCACTGGACTCCTGTCTCACAAAATAACTGTCTACAGTCCTCTGTTTCTGGTGCCTCTTTAACATTTCCCTAAAATGGGACATGGTTCTGTCACTGAACTTGTTGCAAAGATGGCTTGTTTCAGCTTGCTCAGGGTGGTACTTCTGCACAAACATTTGGACATCATTCCACTTGGCACAAATCTCCTTAATCTTTGAAGAAGGCACCTCATCCACTCCCTATATTAACACCTTTTGCAACATCAGCTTCCTTGATTTGTTCTTTCTTTGACAGGATAGAACCGATGGTCGACTTGTTTTTCCCATACATCCTGGCAAGCTCAACAAGTCTCACACCACTCTCATACTTCTGTATTATTTCCTTCTTCACATCTATGGTGTTTCTCACTTTCTTTACCACAGGGGTACCACTAGCAAGTTTCTTTGGGCCCATGGCAGCTTATTTCACAGTCCCACAAGCACTAAACACAACGAAATAATCGTAAAATGCGTGAATGAGAGCGCAGGTTAGTGTTCACTCAAGCATAAACAAAGCTAGACTGCTCACGGCACCTGCGCAGGGACACGGACAGAGCAGGCCGGCAGACAGGTCCCGTACCCGGCAGTCCGAAAATAGAGGCGCGTTCAACAATAGGGAGACAGTTTGTCCGAAAAAATGGTCCTATTTTCGAAACGTTCAATATGTGATACGTTTGATTTTTGAGGTTCCACTATACAGTGGACCCCCGCCTTACGATATTAATCCGTTCCTGAGAGCTTATCATAAGCCGAAATTATCGTAAGGCGAATTAATTTTCCCCGTAAGAAATAATGGAAATCAAATTAATCTGTGCAAGACACCCCAAAGTATGAAAAAAAAAATTTTTTACCACATGAAATATTAATTTTAATACACACAAACTGAAGAAGGCATGCACAATTACTACTCTACTAAGAATAGAATACATGACACTTATCTTTATTGAAGATCTGGTGATGATTGATGGGATGGGAGGAGGGGAGTGTGTGGAAGTTGTTATTGCTTAGAAGGGGAATCCCTTCCATTAGGACTTGCGGTAGCAAGTCCTTTTCCTGGGTTACTTCTCTTCTTCTTTTAATGCCACTAGGACCAGCTTGAGAGTCACTGGACCTCTGTCGCACAACAAATCTGTCCATAGAGCTCTGTACCTCCCGTTCCTTTAAGTCTTTCCTAAAATGGGCCATAACACTGTCATTGTACAGGTTGCCAACACGGCTTGCAGTAGCTGTGTTAGGGTGATTTTCATCTGCAAAGGTTTGGAGTTCAACCCACTTTGCACACATTTCCTTAATCTTTGAAGTAGGCAACTTCCTCAATTTCTCTCTCCCCTCCTCTGAAGCAGTTTCCTCAGGTCTGGCCTCTTGCTGTTGAAGATGATCTTGCAGCTCATCAGCGGTTAGTTCTTCGTTGTCCTCCTCCACCAACTTTTCCACATCCTCCCCACTAACCTCCAACCCCAAGGACTTCCCCAGTGCCACAATGGATTCCACAACTGGCATACGCTTCTCAGGGTTAGCCCCAAACCCTTCAAAATCCCTTTCTTCTACACATTATGGCCACAGTTTCTTCCAAGCAGAGTTCAAGGTCCTCTTAGTCACTCCCTCCCAAGCCTTACCTATAAGGTTTACACAACTGAGTATACTAAAGTGATCTTTCCAAAACTCTCTTAGTCAATCGAGTGTCTGAGGTCACTTCAAAGCACTTTTGAAACATAGCTTTTGTGTAGAGTTTTTTGAAGTTTGAAATGACCTGCTGGTTCATGGGCTGCAGGAGAGGAGTGGTATTAGGTTTTCCATTAGGTAATTTTTCACATTGGGGGCAAGTGCATGGTGTAACCAGTCATAGAAAAAGTCCTTAGTGACCCATGCCTTACTGTCTGCCCTCCACAGCACACGCAAATTAGCCTTGATGACATTGTTTTGCCTGAATGCTCTGGGAGTTTCAGAGTGATACACCAATAAAGGCTTCACTTTGCAATCACCACTAGTATTAGCACACATCAGAAGAGTAAGCCTGTCTTTCATAGGCTTATGTCCTGGGAGTGCCTTTTCCTCCTGAGTAATGTAGGTCCTGCTTGGCAATTTCTTCCAAAACAGGCCTGTTTTGTCGCAATTAAACACTTGTTCAGGTTTCAATTCTTCACTGTCTATGTACTCCTTGAATTCCTTTGCATATTTTTCAGCCGCTCTTTGGTCCGAACTGGCAGCCTCACCATGCCTTATCACACTATATATGCCACTATGATTCTTAAATCTCTCAAACCAACCTTTGCTGGCCCTAAATTCACTCACATCACCACTAGTTGCAGGCATTTTTCTAATTAAATTGTCATGCAACTTCCTAGCCTTTTCACATATGATCGCTTGAGAGATACTATCTCCTGCTATCTGTTTTTCGTTTATCCACACCAATAACAGTCTCTCAACATCTTCTATCACTTGCGATCTCTGTTTCGAAAACAAACTTGCACCTTTTGCAAGAACAGCTTCCTTGATTGCCGTTTTGTTGGCCAAGATAGTAGCGATAGTTGATTGGGGTTTGGTATACAACCTGGCCAGCTCCGAGACACTCCACTTTCGTACTTAGTAATTATCTCTTTCTTCATTTCCATAGTAATTTTCACCATTTTGACCACCACAGGGTTGGCACTAGAAGCTTTCTTGGGGCCCATGGTGACTTATTTTGCAGTTAAAATCGCTAAAAACACTCTGATAATATGAAATGTACCGAATGTATGCTTAGATGCGACTGCACTGGCTGGCTTGTAAACACTGGCACCCACGGGGCAGCTGAGGCCACGTGTGGGATGCGTCCTGGACGAATCACATAAGGCAAGTTTTTTATCGTGAGACGAGGCAAAATTTTTTTGTTCAAATGCTTCGTATGGTGGATTTAACTTAAGGCGATGCGTTCGTAAGGCAGGGATCCACTGTACATCTTGCTACTTCTACTTACACTTAGGTCACACTACACATTCATGTACAAGCATATTTTTTTTTTTTTTTTTTCAACAAGTCGGCCGTTTCCCACCGAGGCAGGGTGACCCAAAAAAAGAAAGAAAATCCCCAAAAAGAAAATACTTTCATCATCATTCAACACTTTCACCACACTCACACATTATCACTGTTTTTGCAGAGGTACTCAGAATACAACAGCTTAGAAGCATATACGTATAAAGATACACAACATATCCCTCCAAACTGCCAGTATCCTAAACCCCTCCTTTAAAGTGCAGGCATTGTACTTCCCATTTCCAGGACTCAAGTCCGACTATATGAAAATAACCGGTTTCCCTGAATCCCTTCACTAAATATTACCCTGCTCACACTCCAACAGATCGTCAGGTCCCAAGTACCATTCGTCTCCATTCACTCCTATCTAACACGCTCACGCACGCTTGCTGGAAGTCCAAGCCCCTCGCCCACAAAACCTCCGTTACCCCCTCTCTCCAACCCTTTCGAGGACGACCCCTACCCTGCCTTCCTTCCCCTATAGATTTATATGCTTTCCATGTCATTCTACTTTGATCCATTCTCTCTAAATGACCAAACCACCTCAGCAACCCCTCTTCTGCCCTCTGACTAATACTTTTATTAACTCCACACCTTTTCCTAATTTCCACACTCCGAATTTTCTGCATAATATTTACACCACACATTGCCCTTAGGACATCTACACTGCCTCCAACCGTCTCCTTGCTGCTGCATTTACCACCCAAGCTTCACATCCATATAAGAGTGTTGGTACTACTATACTTTCATACATTCCCTTCTTTGCCTCCATAGATAACGTTTTTTGACTCCACATATACCTCAATGCACCACTCACCTTTTTTCCTTCATCAATTCTATGATTAACCTCATCATTCTATTTATATATATATACATGTATACATTCTCCATGGGGAAGTGGAATAGAATTCTTCCTCCGTAAGCCATGCGTGTTGTAAGAGGCGACTAAAA